TTTTTGCAACAGTTCGAATTCTCCTTTTTGATTATTATACGTTTGTTTGATTTCAGTTCTAAGAATGTGATTTTTCATCAAGACAGTTTCATTTTGTCGGTGATTTTTTATATTCTCCCTACCTATCTGCTTGGTAATATACTTATTTCGTAAGGAGAGATTTGATATTGGTCTCGTCATTTTACGATTTAGGCTGACGCATGCACGGCGCAGACGTATCAGTGTTTTTAATTTGTTTTTGAAGTGATCCTGTAAATAAGGTTGGCATGTCAAAATAATTTTTGGGTTTAATTTATACTTTCCGTTGTAGCTTTGTGAGGATCAGTTAATACTTGTGTTTTATTGCACATACATGGAATAAATTTCATAATATTCTAAGATACATGCGTGTACAAACGCGTAGAATATGATTAAAAAATCGAGTACTGAATTTATAAAGTGCAGTTCGTGTGTCGTTTCATGTATCATGTATCGTCGTCTCCTCGAGATAGAGAATGATGTTTAAAATAACCTTTTTTCCTATTCAGCTAAAACGAGAAAAATAAATGCAAAATAGGTCTTTTTCAGCTGAAGTAGTGATCTTTCCCAATAATTTTTACTGCTGACTTGGTATTGCCTCAGATCCAGATGATGAATTTTTCAAGCTCAGAATATCTTTTTTTCTGACTGCTTTATGTCTTGTCTTAAAGTTAGTTCTGCCAATCTATTGTCAAAATAAAATATTATTAAAGTAAAAAATTGTTGCATGCACGTTAAGTCAGTATCCTTTAAGTCATTTTTCCTTTTTTTTCTCCTCACTTATCTCCTTGGCAATATGTTGGCATCTTAGACAGAATTTTCTGCGTTGGTAATTCGTGAAACTTATTTAGAAGGGTTCATTCTAGTTGTGTCTCTTTGTTTCTCTTCAAAACACTCAAAGGGATGTTCTTCATTTGTTTTGATAATTAACGTTTCAATTTGAAGATTTATCATGTAAACGGAAAAGAGGAAACGTCAAACTGAGTTAGGGTTTAATTTACATTGTGCAAATGTTGAGAGAGAGCAATTATGAGCCTAATTAGAAAATTGATTTATTGCGAGTTGTGTGTATTCAGAAGCCGGA